TCAGGGCAATAAAAACTGATTTATCCACACAAGCAGAGCACAAGGAATTYTTTTGGAATTGTTAAATGGCAATTAATGGTTTTATAATCATTGTTAAATGGTTTAATGGTTTTATAATAATTTTAATAATTAAAATAATGAATATGGCAGGTTTTAAACAATACTGGAAAGCTAAAATATCAACTTTTATCAATTGTGCTGCTAATCACGGTTTTAATTCTGTATTTACCACGGTTCTAAATGTTCCACACTGAGACTGCCCTTTCCATCACCCCAGGGTGCTCCAATCCCAATGTCCAGCCTGGCCTTGGGCACTCAAAGGGATCCAGGAATTCTCTGGGAATTCCATCCCAGGCAGGAATTCCCAATTCCCCAGATCCCACCCCAATCTCCCCTTTTCCACTCTGATCCATTCCCTGTGTCCTGTCCCTGCAGCCCTTGGTCCCAGTCCCTCTCCAGCTCTCCTGGAGCCCCTGGAATGTTCTGGAAGCTCTCCCTGGATCCTTCCCTTCTCCAGGGGAACATTCCCAGCTCTCCCAGGCTGGCTCCAGCCCTCTGAACTATTTCACACACAGAATCACAGAATCACAGAATCACAGAATGAAAACAACCTTCAAGATCATCATGTCCAGCCTAACACTTAAAACCTGCTCATCAACCAAACCATGGCATTGAGTGCCACATCCAGGTGCTTTTTTAAATTTTTTTTTTCCATTTTCTTGTGCCCTTGATTAATAAAAAAATCCACTGAATTTAACACACAGATTGAAACAAAACCCAATAAATTGGTGTGGCCATTCCCTTTTCCTCACATTTCAGAACAGCAGCAAATGGTACAGAACTGACACGATGGAAMCAAATTCATTATTCACCACTGAGAAAACACCAATCCAACATCCCAGGACAAATGAGAACTCAGCACGTCCTGGTGCCCCAGGAAAGAACATTTCTGCAGAAYTGAGCTGCCTGAAGAGCTGGCCAGGTCCTATGAAATATTTCTGTGCAATGAGAGAGGTTTTAATTAATTGTTGTGAGGGGTCTCCAAGGGAATGACACCAAAATTTCCCCACGTAGACCATCAGCCTTATCCTCAAAATGGTTGGGGTGGGAAGGGAGTTTTTGGACCATCTGACAGCCCAGTGAAGAGTTCAGCAGTTCAGGCTCAAATCTGGGGTTTTACAGAGCTCTGGTGGAACAGCAGGGCCTCACTGTTCAGATTTATTTTTTCCCTGACAGGAGGAAAGTGTCTGAGCTTTGATTTTAAACTGAAGCTGATTTAAGGGGTGGSTACACCCTTCTAGAGTGTAATTTATTTTTTTTGATACAAATTATTTCAGCTGCTTGCTGCAAATTTCACACGTGATTCAGGGTTTAGAACCAGTTCTAAATATTTCTGTATTCAACAAGAATTCAAGACATTTCCACAGCTCTAGAACAGGAACATCTTCAAGGCTCAGTGTCCTACAGATACCAAACCCTTTCTGTGCCTCACTCAACCCTCTGGGAATGTTGATGTCATTGATCTGATCCAATTTATCAATCCCAACCAGGAGCCACACAATCTCTGATTCATAAAATAAGGATCAAGCAGGAGTTGCTCCCTCTGGGCACCAGAAACCGAAATTCTGCCTCCTGACCCCCTAAAAAAGCTCATTTTCACTGAGGTATCAGCTTTGTAATGCTAAAAATTCCTAAAAAATGTAATTGTTTCCACTAATGAGAGGGATTTAAAAAGGAGATTTTATCAATCTGATGTTGTCCTTGGGAGTGATTTTCCCCTACAAATATTACACAAACTTCACTTTCCTGCCATTAATTCCCTTTGGACAATGATCACAACAAGGTGGAGTATCACAGATTAATATTTCAGCCAGAAGGGATTCCTGCTACAATTTTTTTCTTTCCCAAAGGGCATTTCCAGTGAATTCTGAGCAGCAGCACRAACACAGCTCTGATTTTGCTCCCCCACCTTGCAATTAACCCCACCGGGGCTGCAAAACCATCAGAGGTTTGACCACACATTGGAGATAAAATCAATTCCAGACACCATTTCAAAGCTTTGCACCTGCAGCAGCATCACTGGACTCTGCTGCACTCCATTTGAGATTTTCCCATTTCAAGCTGGATTATCAATTATAATTTTTCTTTTAATTTTTAATTTTTTTTTTAATTTTTTTTTTTAAATTTTTTTGCAGCAATCGAGGGCTGCTCATTTAAAATTCCTCACCTGGGCTGGTTTTCCTGGGACACATTCTCCCCTCTCTGGTACCATCAGCCACCTGAGGGGCTGCAAAACCATCAGAGGTTTGACCAAACATTGCAGATAAAATCAATTCCAGACACCATTTCAAAGCTTTGAATCTGCAGCAGCTTCACTGGACTTTGCTGCACTCCAGTTGAGATTTTCCCATTTCAAAATTATCAATTATAATTTTTTTTAAATTTTTTTGCAGCAATCGAGGGCTGCTCATTGAAAAATCCTCACCTGGGCTGCTTTTCCTGGGACACATTCTCCCCTCTCTGGTAGCCACTGTCAGCCACCTGAGGGGCTGCAAAACCATCAGAGACCACACACTGCAGATAAAATCAATTCCAGACACCATTTCAAAGCTTTGCATCTACAGCAGCGTCACTGGACTTTGCTGCACTCCATTTGAGATTTTCCCATTTCAAAATAATCAATTATGATTTTTTTAAAATTTTTTTGCAGCAATCGAGGGCTGCTCATTGAAAAATCCTCACCTGGGCTGATTTTCCTGGGAAACGTTCTCCCCTCTCTGGAACCCACTGTCAGCCACCTGAGGGGCTGCAAAACCATCAGAGACCACACACTGCAGATAAAATCAATTCCAGACACCATTTCAAAGCTCTGCACCTCCAGCAGCTTCACTGGACTTTGCTGCACTCCATTTGAGATTTTCCCATTTCAAGCTGTATTATCAATTATAATTTTTTTTAAATTTTTTTACACCAATCGAGGGCTGCTCATTAAAAAATCCTCACCTGGGCTGGTTTTCCTGGGACACATTCTCCCCTCTCTGGTAGCCACTGTCAGCCACCTGAGTGGTGGAACGTTTCACGATCTGTTTGAGCTCCTGYTCCAGGCGATCCTGGATGGCTTTCACCGTCTCGGGGATTTTCCTCAGCTTGGCCAACCCTTTGATGAGRATTCCCATGAAAACAGCGCTGTTCTCCTCTGGATCCAGCTCGGGGTCGTCTTTGATTTCCAGAAGGCTCGAGTCTCGCACTGGAATGGATTTCAAGAGGTTAATCCCAGGTTTAAATATTTAAACTCAACATCAGCGCTGACAGAAGCAGCACCAGAGCTCCTCTGGCTTCACAGAACTTCTACCACATGGAGCAGACAGGAAATCAACAAAAAAAAACTGGAAAAACTTGGATTTTTTGGGAAGCAGTGGATATTCCTATTTGTTTGAGGGCTTCCCTACACATAAATACAGCAGCCTGCACACTGGGTTGATTTAGGAATAATTTACAGGGTAAATTCTGAGTTAGGAAATAGAGGAAGTCTGGTATAATTAAGATATTCATTAATGAGAAGGTACAATACCCCTCCAGATCCCCTGAATGTATTTCAAGGAGCTAAAACACTCTCAGTTTCTTCTCAAAAAAAAAACCCTGATCTCAAAAATTTGGGAGTAATTGTTTTTATACACCAATGGAAAAGGTGTAAACATTTAAACTCAAAGTCAGTGCTGACAGAAGCAGCACCAGAGCTCCTCTGGCTTCACCCAACTCCCACCACATGGAGCAGCCAAGGAATCAACAAAAAACTGGGAAAACTTGGATTTTTTGGGAAGCAGTGGATATTTCTGTTTGTTTGGGCACTTCCCTATGCATAAATACAACAGCCTGAATACTGGGTTGATTTAGGAACAGTTCACGGGGTAAATTCTCAGTCAGGAGATAGAGGAAGTCTGGTATAATTCAGGTATTCATTAACAGAAGGTACAATACCCCTCCAAATCCCTTGAATGTGTTTCAAGAAGCTAAATTCCCTTTTTCTTCTAAAAAAAATACTGATCTTAAAAATTTGGGATCAATTAAGAATTTTTTTATACACCAACAGAAAAGGTTTAAACATTTAAAYYCAACGTCAGCGCCGACAGAAGCAGCACGAGAACTCTTCTGGTTTCACTGAACTTCTACCACATGGAACAGCCAAGGAATCAAAAAAAAAAAAAAACTGCAAAAACTTGGATTTTTTGGGAAGCAGTGGGTACTTCTGTGTGTTTGAGGGCTTTCCTACACATAAATACAGTGGGTTGATTTAGGAATAATTTACGGGGTAAATTCTGAGTTAGGAGATAGAGGAAGTCTGGTATAATTAAGATACTCATCAATGAGAAGGTACAATACCCCTCCAAATCCCTTGAATGTGTTTTAAGGAGCTAAAACCCTCTGTTTCTTCTCCCCAAAAAACCAATGATCTTAAAAATTTGGGAGTAATTAAGAATGTTTTGATACACCAATGGAAAAGGTTTAAACATTTAAACCCAACATCAGCGCCAACAGAAGCAGCACGAGAGATCCTCTGGCTTCACCCAACTCCCACCACACTGAGCAGCCAAAGAATCAACAAAAAAACTGGAAAAACTTGATTTTTTTTGGGAAGCATTGGATATTCCTATTTGTTTGAGGGCTTCCCTAGGCATAAATACAGCAGCGTGCACACTGGATTGATTTAGGAATAATTTACGGGGTAAATTCTGAGTTAGGAAATAGAGGAAGTCTGGTATAATTCAGATATTCACCAATGAGAAGGTACAATACCCCTCCAAATCCCTTGAATGTGTTTCAAGGAGCTAAATTCCCTTTTTCTTCTAAAAAAAATACTGATCTTAAAAATTTGGGATCAATTAAGAATGTTTTTATACACCAATGGAAAAGGTTTAAACATTTAAACCCAACATCAGCACCGACAGAAGCAGCACGAGAGCTCTTCTGGTTTCACTGAACTTCTACCACATGGAACAGCCAAGGAATCAACAAAAAAACTGCAAAAACTTGGATTTTTTGGGAAGCAGTGGATATTTCTGTTTGTTTGGGGGCTTCCCCATGCATAAATACAGCAGCCTGAACACTGGGTTGAGTTAGGAACAGTTCACAGGGTAAATTCTGAGTTAGGAGACAGAGGAAATCTGGTATAAATAAGATATTCACCAATGAAAAGGTACAATACCCCTCCAAATCCCTTGAATGTGTTTCAAGGAGCTGAAACCCTCCCAGTTTCTTCCCCCCCCAAAAAATAGTGATTTTAAAAATTTGGGAGTAATTAAGAATATTTTTATACACCGATGGAAAAGGTGGCTGCAGAAACCTACATGGGAAAAGCTGATTATGGAAGGGAGGAAAAGTGAGTTAAATTTAAAAACTAAAAATGAGAATCTTTCCTTGCTGTTTTCTTCACAGGAATTTTCATTACAAACACTATCAAGCTTAAGAGCCCGCTGACGAACTCAGCAAAGCTGACGCTGCCAAAGTGACTGATTGTTTGATTTTATCTTTTTCTGCTTTATTACGTCTGCCAAGGGCTTGATGAAGTTCCTCAAATCTCCCAGCAAGGCTTCTAGAAGGAAAAAGTGAGCAGAATTCATGGAGGATATCACAGACAGGTCCTRAAATCCCGGGGATGGCACAGGGAGAGATCCCATTGCTAAGCGACAGGGGATGGGAAAGCAAAAGATGCTCTGATGTTTTGAGGAGGTTCATTAAGAGACATTTGTTAATTTACAGAGAACACCCAGCAGCAGCAGAAGCGTGGCTCTGTTAAAGGCAGGCTGAAAGGTTTAATAAATAGATTTAAACACTTCTGTGGAGTTGAGTGTCTTGCCATCCTTGGATCCAAATGAAATTCCCAAAGGCTGAGCTCGGGAAAGGTGACAGATGACTGCCATGGTTTTGACTCCTCCACGGATTTTTTTGGTTCAAAACTTCTCCAAGAAGCTGAGGAAATGTCAAAAGAGGCACCAGAAGGATGAAGGGAAGGTGGAAGGAAGGAGGGATGGCACAGCCCAGGGAGCTGCCTGGAACTGGGTTAAAACAAGATCAAGAAAACACAACCCAAGGATGGTAAAAATTCATAAAAAATAATCACAAAAAAGGGTAAAATTCCCCTGCGTGCCAGTTCACACCAACCTCAGGCTCAAACAATCCAGAGGCTGCTTTTTGCAGCAATGGGATCCCAAATTCTGCACCTCTGGCTCAAACTCAGCTCACMTGGTCTCACATTTGAGCCCAGAGCAGCAGGGGAGAGTGAGGTGAGAATGGATCCTGCTCCGGAGCCAGGATGGGAATGTTCCCCTGGAGAAGGGAAGGATCCAGGGAGAGCTTCCAGAACATTCCAGGGGCTCCAGGAGAGCTGGAGAGGGACTGGGGCCAAGGGCTGCAGGGACAGGACACAGGGAATGGATCAGAGTGGAAAAGGGGAGATTGGGGTGGGATCTGGGGAATTGGGAATTCCTGCCTGGGATGGAATTCCCAGAGAATTCCTGGATCCCTGTCCAAGGGCAGGCTGGACATTGGGATTGGAGCACCCTGGGGTGATGGGAGGTGTCCCCATGGCAAGGGTGGCACTGGACGAGCTTTAAAAAAAACATTCCAACTCCAAACCCATCCATGACCCCACAGTGATGAACATCAGGAAGATCAAACAGAATTTTTTTCCCCTCTCACACAACACTTTTCTCAACCAAATTCCACCAAGTTACAGGAAAAGCAACCAGAAACACCCAGAATGGAGAAATTTTTTTTTTAAAAAAAGGCAGCAAAAATGTGAGGATAATATGAAGACTCCAAACCCATCCATGACCCCACAGTGATGAACATCAGGAAGATCAAACAGCATTTTTTTTCCCTCTCACACAACACTTTTCTMAACTAAATTCCACCAAGTTACAGGAAAAGCAACCAGAAACTCCCAGAATGGAGTAATTTTTAAAAAGAGAAAGACAAAATAAGTGAGGATAATATGAAGACATTTCAAACACCGATTGGGATTTGACAATTGGGTGCAAACCTCTTCCAGCTCAAACTCTGCTCCATCCCAGAKCTCTCACCCCATGAGCTGCAGAGCAGTTTGGGGCTGCAGAGAGGTCTCTGCCCACTCTGTTTGTGTCATTTTTTATTCCCCAGAACCCATAGCCAAATCCAGGCACAAACACAGCAACCTTTGGCAACCAGAGCACTGCAAGCAATACAGAAAAAAAGGTTTAAACTATTGTTTTTTTTAAAAAAAAACCTAAATATGTTGTTTTTCWGAGTTCATTGCAGGTATTTCCCTGCCTAAGAGGACAGATCCTCATCCCTTTGCAGGAATCTCATAAATTATTGCTGATATCACCCCGTGAACACCCAGRAGTGAGGAAATGGAGCTGCAGCCCAGTGTGAGCACAGCTTTTAGSAGGAGTAAAAGCAGCAATCTCAGTGCTGAGAGCTCTGCCAGCACACTGAGACCAACACTCTCCCCTTCTCAAAAGAGCAAAGCCATTTCCCAGCACCCCAAACAGTTGGGATATTGATTTATATCTCCTAAAAACAGGAGCAGAGTGAGCAGATTGATCTGGGGGAGCTCTGGCTGTTGGATAAAACAGTGGGAAAACCTGGTTTTGGTGTTTTTCCTGCACATTGTGCCTCTTAAACCCCTGGGCAGTTTTGGGAAATCTGTAGGATCTGCCAAAATCCCAGCTCTAGGTAACTGAGGATGTTTTTCCTTTGAGCCTTTCACACTTCAAAAATCCTTTTCTGCCATTTAATGTCACCAAGAAATGGTAAACAAATCTGTGATTTTGGGACCACACACGGGAACAACTTATGAAATTATACAGAAAGAGCAATTATGGGTTACTTTCCTGGTTTTCACCACAGGAATTTAAAATCTCCTCAATTTTCCCTTTTCTTCCCCCAGATACGTATCCAGATTTTAAGAAAAATGATAAAGACCAATCACCCAGCTGGGTCAAATCCTTGGGTGAGATTAATAAAAAAAAAGAATTTTTTTGAGGATTTATTGAGCAYGTTTGAAGCAGAATCAGCTGTGACAACGAAGTGGCACGATGGCATTTTTGAGATTCACCTTCAAAAATGGMCAATCCAAGCTCTGGATCCTGCAGGGATTTTGCAGGTTGAAAGAAATCCCTGATTCTTGCAGAAACAGATTCAGGAGCAATTCCTACATGTGACTTTAGAACCAACACYCTGCCTGGCCCTAAAAGCTCCATTTTTCTCCTAACACTGAAAAAAACCCAAAAGATCACTGAAATAAATGATCAAAAATTGACATATGCCACCTGTAACAGTATTTATTGTCATTCACAGCTCATCTGCCAGATTTGTAAGAAATGTTGTCCCGAATTTCTCAGGAAAGGGCTCTGCTGTTTTTGAGTTCCAGGAAGAGCAGGGAACCTCCCCAAAGTCTCTTCAGAGCACAGAAAGTTCCAGCAGAGAAACAGAAATGAAAAGAAATGAAAAGCTGATTTATTTCTCTGAACTGGAGCTAAGTGAAGGTGTTCCTGGTGAGCTGCCACRTCCCCAATCCTCAGGTGAGCATCASCGAGGGCTTTGTTTGTTTTCAGTGCAACAGGAACAGCTTTAATTTCCTTTTAAAGATTCTATGGCATGAGGGAACGTCTCCTCTGGGAAAGGAGAGTGGGAAAGACTCCAAATTTTGGTGTTTTCATGGGTTGGGATGGATGAGTCARTGCTTTCAAATGACACCAATTAATATGCACAGCCACTGCAGCTCATCAAGGAAAAAACTCAAGATTTGAAGTGAATTTAAGGGATTCAAGGCAGAAAAACTTTTGTTGTGCAGCCACGGAAGTTTGAGATTTTCTGGTAGCTCTGAAATCCTGGAAAAGGCGACTTTTAAATGAAATTACACAGGGAAAAATCTGTATAAGCACTTGAAGCAAAACCATCTGCGTGTTTTATGCTGATCAAATGTTTTCTGTTTGAATTGACATCTCTGCCAGGCTGAGGGACACTCGGCCAGCACTTGAATGGTACAGAGCACGAGGAGCAGCCAAAGAAGAGAATTTCTGGTTTGAAATTCTTGAATTCTTCTTGCTTTGGGTGTGAGGARCAAGAAGAGATCTGCAAAAACGAGACCATGAGGTGCATCTCCTCTGTTCTCTATCAGCTCCATGACTTCAGAGTTTTTAGGTTTTTTACTATGCAGARGACCAATATTTTAGGGGGGAAAAATTGCACACACTCTATAAATCAGTGAAAAAGGAGAATTTTAACATTTAGAGGGGTTGGAACAGGATGATGTTTCACACCAAACCATTCTGTTTCCAGCGTGAGAGTGGAATTTGAGGTTTTGTGGATTATTTCCTCAGACCCCCAAAATCCTGTGATTTTTTGCAAGAAAAATGAACTGAACTTCTCACTGATAACCAAGCAGGACAGGAATTCTGAAGTTTTTCCCTTGGAATTTTCATACGGTTCTTCTCTTCCAGGTTTTGATGGCCAAAGCTTCCAAATCTCAAAGTTTGAGACTCCTCAGAAACCTCCAGGAAACAAAAAATCAGCCCCAGGCTCCAWGAGCAGCCAGAGCTGCAGAATAAAACCCCTCCAGGAGCAAAAGATAAGAGCAAYCAGATAGAAAAATCTCTGGAGGCAAATGTGACAAAACCAGAAACAAAAGGACAAAAGAATTAATAAAGCGGAAGAGAGAAGATCCTGAGCATTTGAGGAATATTGAAACAGGTTTGAAAGGGGGGAAGAGGCTGGAGGTCACTTCTGTATTATTCATCAAGGACTAAATCCCATTTATTTATCTCCTGAAACAATTCCAAAATTAATTTTTCCTTCTTTGCAGCGTTCCAAAGGCTCAAAAAGCACCAGGGAAGGAGTTTTCTTTGGTGTTCATGGAGGAACACAAGGAAAAGATCAACTCCAGATTATTTCTGTGTAGGGACAGAGCTTTAGACAAAGGAAAAGGAAAAGGTTTGACCTTTTGGCTCCAGCACAACAAAAAATTTCAGTCATTTCTGCCCAAAGCTGTAAATAATTATTTACTGCTGTAAAGGCAGTAAATTATGCTGGGGAAACCTTCACAGAGAATGAACCCACCACAAATCTCTGCTGCTCAAGGTATGGAGAACACAATGGAGGTGAGAACAGGCCCAGAAAACCAAAGGTGTTTAAGCTGGTGGGGGTTAGGACAGGGAAAAACTGATTTTCCAGAAGAAAAAAGCAAATTCTGTCCCCTGGACATCATATTTTATGATCTGCACAAATCACTGCCCAAATTTCTGTTCCCTCCCCGAGCCATGAGAAAGGGAGGATTTGCCTCCTCCTGCTCCAGCAAAATCAGCTGAAGATCTCCAAATTCGTGTGGATGGTTTAAATACTCACTGCTGGAGCTTCCAGGAGTGCTGAACTGGGAAGTCTCAAGGAATTTCCGAGGTGTGGATAAATTGGTGACGTCCATCAGAGGCACAGGAGAGGCRTCCTTCACCAGGGAGCTGCGGGAAGGGAAGGAATTAAAGCCAACAGTTGGTGATGATTTAAAATCTTCATTCATGATGAATTTATTCCTTGCGTTTTCAGCCTAAGGAATAGATATTTCTATTTTCCTGCCTTTTGTCAGCTTCTTAATCCTCCAGATTTCTTTATTCCCACTGGAAACTCCCATCTTTTCCCTGCCCTTCAATTCCTGTTCTGAGCACACCCACGTGCATCCCTTCCCAAATGAACCTCTTTACTCTGAAATTAAAGATTTTCCACTTGGCCATTTTTATCATAAATACCCGTTGTGTGAGCTGCCAAAAATGTGCCACACTGTCCCAGCTGCTGGATGTGGCAGGGGGACACAGGAAAGATAATTTTTAGGAGAAAAAAAATGGAGAAGGCTCCTATAACAGAGCTCAGGATGTTTGTTTAGAGGTGAAAAAGTTCCTGAAAACTGGAAAAACCAAGGGTTAGGCTGAGGATTCTGCTTAAGATCCACCCAAATCACAGAGCCACCTCTCAAATATCCACAATGAGCAACAGGGAACGTRAAAAAATTATATTCTTTCTTTCCTTCCCTCCAACAACTCTTATTGGTCTCAGAATTAGGAAAATCAGGAAAAAATAACTTGTAATTAAATTAAATTAAGTTAAAAATAGCTTGTAATTGAATTTCCACTGTCCAAAGGCACAAAGAAGGTAAGAAGTTTTAACATCTCCAAAACACCTTGGAAACACAAAAAAAGCCAAGACACTTGAGCTCAGAGATTTGAATATTGTGGCTTCCATCTCGTAGCTTGATGGTTGCTTGGGAAGCTTTTAAAACTTGAGTTTTGGATGAGTTTTGGACATTTAAAACTAGAAAATGAGGTTTTTTTCCCTGCCCTGAGCCTCATGATCGTGATTGGAAGAAAAGGACAATAACATCAGAGAAGGATATACAGAAAGGAATTGATGATGAACTGTGGGAAGCAGCAAAACCTCAACAGAATCATGGAGAAAAGCGAAAAAACACAAAAAGGTTGGAAAGTGCTCAACAAATTTGAGTTTTTCTGCTCTCCAGAGCTCAAGCTTGAGGGATTTTCATGCAAGAAATGCAAGAGGGATGAGGGAATGCCGTCCCACCCGAGGCGGGCRCGCTCCTTGCCGCGCTGCCCCACGCGGTTGGTGGATTTGATGTAGAGGTGGCGGTGCAGTTCGTCGATCAGCACCAAGTGCAGGTTCATCTTTTTGCTGTGCAGCTCCAGTCTCAGGTCACTCAGCCCCTCCACCTGCAGCAGGGGCCCCTCCAGGGAGTCCACGGCGGAAACCTGCGGGGGAACACGCGGGACGAGCGTTAAATATCGATTTATTCAAGTGGCGCCATTGATTTATTCAAATCTCGCCAAAAATTCACCCAGATCTCACCAAAAATTCACTCGACTCTTGCCAAAACGTCACCCAACTCTCGTCATTGATTTCTTCAAATCTCACCAAAAATTCATTCAACTCTTGTCATTCATTCACTCAACTCTCATCATTGGTTTATTCAAATCTCGCCAAAAATTCATTCAATTCTCGTCATCCATTCACTCAACTCTCATCATTGGTTTATTCAAAACTCGCCAAAAATTCACCCAGATCTCACCAAAAATTCACTCAACTCTTGCCAAAACTTCACCCAACTCTCGTCATTGATTTCTTCAAATCTCACCAAAAATTCATTCAACTCTTGTCATTCATTCACTCAACTCTTACTATCAATTTATTCAAATCTCATCATCAATTCGCCCAACTCTCACCAAAAATTCATTCAACTCTCGCCAGTCATTCACTCAACTCTCATCATTGATTTCTTCAAATCTCGCCAAAAATTCATTCAACTCTCGCCATTCATTCACTCAACTCTTGCTGTCAATTTATTCAAATCTCATCATCAATTACCCAACACGCACCAAAAATTCATTCAACTCTTGCCATTCATTCACTCAACTCTTGCTGTCAATTTATTCAAATCTCATCATCAATTCACCCAACTCTCACCAAAAATTCATTCAACTCTCACCATTCATTCACTCAACTCTCATCATTGGTTTATTCAAATCTCGCCAAAAATTCATTCAACTCTCACCATTCATTCATTCAACTCTTGCTATCAATTTATTCAAATCTCATCATCAATTACCCAACTCTCACCATCAATTCACTCAACCCTCACCAAAAATTCACCAAACTGTGACCAAAAATTCACTCAACTCTCGTCATCGTTTTATTCAAATCTAACCAAAAATGCACCCAGATCTCACCAAAAATTCACCAAACTCTCGCCATCAATTTATTCAAATCTCGTCATCAATTCACCAATTCTCACCATTGATTGACTCAACTCTTGCCATCGATTCACCCAACTGTCACCAAAAATTCACCCAACTCTTGCTATCAATTTATTCAAATCTTTTCATCAATTCACCAACTCTCACCATTGATTCACCCAACTCTCACTATTGATTCACTCAACTCTCACCAAAAATTCACTCAATTCTTGCCATTGAAACATCCAACTCTCCTCAAAAATTCACCCAACTCTTGCAAAAAACTTCATCCAACTCTCACCATTGATTCACCCAATTCTCGCCATCAATTTATTCAAATCGCACCAAAAATTCACTTAATTCTTGCCAAAAATTCACCCAATTCTCGCCAAAAATTCACCCAACTCTCACAAAAAATTCACCCAACCCTCACCAAAAATTCACCAAATTCTTACCAAAAATTTACTCAACTCTCACCAAAAATTCACCCAACTCTCACCATCAATTTATTCAAATCTCCTCATCAATTCACCAACTTTCACCATCGATTGACTCAACTCTCGCCATCCAGTCACTCAACTCTCACCAAAAATTCACCAAACTGTCACCAAAAATTCACTCAACTCTCGTCATCCTTTCACTCAACTCTCACCATCCCTTCACTCAACTCTCGTCATCGGTTAATTCAAATCTTGCCAAAAATTCACCCAGATCTCACCAAAAATTCACCCATCTTTTGCTATCAATTTATTCAAATCTTGCCAAAAATTCACCCAGATCTCACCAAAAATTCACCCATCTTTTGCTATCAATTTATTCAAATCTTGCCAAAAATTCACCCAGATCTCACCAAAAATTCACCCATCTTTTGCTATCAATTTATTCAAATCTTGCCAAAAATTCACCCAGATCTCACCAAAAATTCACCCATCTTTTGCTATCAATTTATTCAAATCTTGTCATCAATTCACCAACTCTCACCATCGATTGACTCAACTCTTGGCATCGATTCACTCAACTCTCACCAAAAATTCACCCAACTCTCACCAAAAATTCACCATTTCTTGTCAAAAATTCACCCAACTCTCATAAAAAATTCACCCAACTCTCACCAAAAATTCACTCAACTCTCCCTAATAATTCACTCAACTCTTGCAATTTTCCTCTTGTTTTAGGGCTGTCTGAATACCAGGATGATTCCGTCCTTAAAACCTTTCTAAAGCAGAAAATCTTTAGTATTTCTTCCTTTCTAGTCCTAAACGAAATATGCAGAAGGGACCAACATCCAGATAATTCAGATTTAATGCACAGCCTTCAAATGGTTTGAGCATGTGGGTAAAGGAAGTTAGTGAAAGCTCYATTTATTGAATTAATTAATCAATTTATTCATTAAATAAAAATCAAAGCATAGTTTATCCCCAAATAAGWGGATTATTAAGTAAGAAAGTGTTAGAAGAAGACAGTGACAATGATGTTTGATGGTTGYTATCCTTTCCATTACAGAAACACCAAAAAAAAATTATTCCAAATTCTATAAATGAGGAGAAAATTGTTTAAATTTAATTTTTTTTTAATTCATGACTGGAAAAGCTTTCAAGACCTCATCTTTTAGGTTGCACAAGGGTTGTGCCCTGTGGCTACACCATTTTAATATCTGAAATAATGCCCTGCTGACATCCCATGAGAACTAAAAGTGTAATTATTATCATTATTATTATTATTATTATTATTATTATTATTATTATTATTAGTGTTATTATTTATTATAATACAGATGACGCTTAAGGGAATAAAAAGGTTTTAATTTGAACTATAATGGGATCTCAAGTGCAACAACTCGATGGAAAATGTACAAAACGCTGGAAAACACACACTGTGTACAGCACAGATACAAGTTTTATAGATTTTACAAATTAGTGTACTTATTTAGAATTTTTTAATAAGAAATTTAATAAATAAAGTAATGTCTTTTTATTTTATAGCATTTTTTTGGGGATAAGGTTAGAGTTTAGTTTATGTAATATTTTAGAGAGAAGGTTTTAATTTTCGGGTTTAAGCTGACTTCTTACTGGGGATGTTTGGCCCTTTTGTTGAGCAGAATTTTTAACTAAATTGGAATATTAGGTTACAAGAATTATAAGTATTATAATTCTATTATACTTATATTATTATTATTTAATATAATATATATTATAATATTATAATAATATATTATAATAATATAATCTTATAAGTATCTAGGCTAAGGATATAGGGACACATAAAGATTTACGTAAAGACATTTAGAAATGTCTAAAAGGGTATATAAAATGTAGAAAAGGGTCTGTAAAATATATTAAAGGGTCTATAAAATATATTAAAGGGCCTATAAAATATATTAAAGGGTCTATAAAAAGGAAAGGCAAAAATTCTTGGGCATCATTAGGAGGATCCTAATTCCCTTTTCGATCCTAAAAACAAATGTTGGTAAAACACAAACAGGGACAAAACCCACCAGAAATGAAAAATCAGTGCCTAAAAGCAACATTTTCACCGTGCAACCCCCTCCCAGTTTAGGGGATTTCTATTTAACAGAGATTTCCAGTTCCTAAATAAATAGGAGTTAATTAGGAAAATATTAATTAGGAAAATATTATTCAGAATAAATATTATTGGGAATAAATATTTATTCCTAAATAAATAATGGCATCTCTCTGCCATTAATTAGGAAAATATTATTAGGAATAAATATTTTTAGGAATAAATATTATTAGGAATAAATATTATTAGGAATAAATATTTATTCCTAAATAAATAATGGCATCTCTCTGCAGCTTCCAGACTCTCAGAGCTGATGTTGTAGGAAACTGGAAATAGTGTGTTTGGTGTGCAGAGGTTTGAAATCAAATTTAAAAATCTATTCCTTGCTAAGTGAGGCTGCTGTCAGTGAAATAAGACATTGGGCTGCAGTTTCAGGATCTGGGCTCAGAACAAACCTGTCAGGSAAATATTAAAAATTAAAAGCAGAGAGGCCTGAGCAGCAGGAAATATTAACTCTGCTGAAAGAACATCCATCACCAGGGGATTCCTCTGCTGGCCTCCAGAAAAAAAAAAAAAACTGGAATATCCATGGGGCAGCCAGGCTTTTAAAATTAATTTTTCAATCTTCTCCCCTGACACACGACACTGTCCATCCTCTTTGTTGCCGTTTGGGAAGAGTTAGGGAAGTTTGGCCATGACACATGACAAAACCACCCCGAAGATGAAGGAAAAATCGAACTTCCTTCTCCTCAAAGAGAGCAGACACACGTGGGAAGCTCTGGCAGAATGGAAGTGTTAATTCCTCTCTTTTTCAGAGGAGCTGTCCCCCAAATTTCCCAATTCCAAAGGCCCCCGGTTGCTCCAGGCATTKTTGGCTGCCCCGGAAGCTGCAGAAAAATCCCCTCAAAACAARGAGCAGGAACAACATTTGTCACACGGAGAAATCAAAAGATGAAAAAGAGCCAGAGAAAAAGTGAAATCAAGAGCAAAGTGATGTTGAAAAAATTCCGAGACATCAGGAAAAGTTTCCTCTGAAAYGCAAAAAACGGGAATTTCAATTTCCCATTCAGATCTTTCAGCTCTGGTTTTGTCTTTCCAGTTCCTCAAGGGTTCATTGCTCACCAAAATAATTATTAAGGTCAAAATACAGCTCTCCAAAATAATTATTAAGGCTAAAATACAGCTCTCAAGCACATAGTTTAAATTTTAAAAAATGGAATAATCAACCATTTATTATATTCATGTTCATGGAAGTCAAAGGAAGGTCTCCAGTTTAGAAGGCAATAAATAAATTTTAAAAATATAAATAAAAAATATAAATATAAAATATAACTATAAATAAATTATATAAATAAAATATAAATATAAAAACACAAACCAAGCATTTTTCCTATCTGCAGTTTTGCTTGCAGAAAGGTGATTTCGCTCCTGGCAACAAAGCGGCACCAAAGATTATATTCCAAAATGAAAAATATGAGATGAAAACCTTTGTGTGCTGG